CCAAATCTCAAAATCAAACCAAACCTAAATACCAACTTGAACTTGAATACCAACCTGAACTTGAATACCAACTCAAACCTAAATACTAATCCAAACTTGTGCCTAAAGCTGAAATTGAATATATAATTTCAGATTCTAAAATATGCTAAATATATTAAAGAGCTGAAGAATTAAGTTCAAAGAAAAGAGTAAAGGTGTCGAAAAGAATAAAGATGTTGAAAAGTAATAAAATATTAAAAAGTGTAAAAATGTCAAAAAGAGCAAAGTAATAAAAATAGCTGAACCTCCAGAAACTGTTTTTAAAGATGAAAAAAAAAAAGAGGCAAGGGTTGAAATGAAGGTTCTAGTGAAAACTATTTTTAAAGAACTTTAACTAAAGGTAGATGAAGTTTATTCAAGTGATATGAATAAAAAAATATTAAGCAAGTTAATACCTGAATTATTAAAATTAATAGTCTTATGTTTTAATCCATCATAAAAGCAGCTAAACAATTGATTAGATGCTTTATATTGTCATCAAAGAGAAATGCATCAAAAAGTACAAACAGGAAAACTAGATACAGACAATTGTCACTTACATACAAATAGTTGATTAAATAAGATAAAATTAATTGATATTTATATTATATTACTTGTATTAATTTTTATCAAATAATAAAGAAAAGAACACAAAGAATCAAAAGTGCATAATCACTTATTGACAAAAAGTCCAAGAGTATTGCAAGATATTGGAAGAAATTGATCGATATAGTTAAAGAACCAAGAGTTCATTTGACTAAAGAAAGTGAAACTGATTCAGAAAATGATGATAAAAAAAGAATAAATATATATGATTATAGTTGACATTTTGATGAGATATTTTTTAATAAATGATTTTATACTGAATAATTAATTTATTACTAATTATTTTATAGTTGAAAGATTTATTAAAAAATTTGGATAAACATTTAAAGTCAATTCAACCATTTTAACCAACTTGTAAATGAAACTATAGTGAATCTTATTGTTATAATATAACCTTGCCAAAAAATATGCCAAGTTGGATTTGTAAATCAGAGAATGAAAAGCAAGAAATAGAACAAAATAAAAAAGATAAATAATTGGTAAAAAAACATAGAAAATAAAGAATATCTGATTATAAGGAATTACTTATGTATTCTGAGAGAAAGAAGTATCAAACTGAAGAAAGTACTCAAATGAATAAAATTTGAAAGGCAATACTAAAGAAGAAAATTAAAGAAAAACCATGAAAAGCACAAAAAATGCAAAAAGCACAAAAACCATAAAAAAGCATTCCAAAGTAAGAAAAACTCAACATTATAAAATCTTTGAGAATTATAAGAGCCATGACAAAATTAGCAAAAGAAAAAGATAAAGGTTATAAGCAAAAAGATTCAAATAAAAAAATGAAGGAATTTAATAAATAATATGTGAATAATTATCAAATAATTAATTAGTAAAGAATTAGCAAATAATTAATAAATAACTAGCGAATAATTACTGTACAGTCAGACCTCTATATAAGCACACTCTATATAGTCACACCTCTTTATAAGCATTCATTTTTTTAAAATAGATTTTATTATTATTAAATTACCTCTTTATAATCACAAATTAATTATAATCACTATCACTATATAATATTAAACATATATATTATTTTTATTAATAAATAAACCTCTTTATAATCACATAAATTTTGATTGGTAGAAATTATTATAAGTTTAAAATCAAATTTTATTAAATAAAATAAATATGTAGTAATAATGATACAAACACAAAAAAAATTTTCTGTTTTTTTAGTATGCCTCTTATTCAAAAATCAAAATTAAAGTAACATCATTCAGCTATAAGTGATAATATTAAATATCAAATTTGTAAATAGGAGAAGGCTAACAAAGGAAAACGGCATACAGAAATAGCAGCATATTTTAATGAAACATATTCTCATTTGAATATTGATAAAAGCATCATATCGAAAGTTTTATCACAAAGAGATAAGTGGGAATCTATAAATACTGAAGATTCTACTCAAACATTTAAATATAAAGAAGTTAAATTTCCAATTCTTGAGCATGCAATGAATTTATGGGTAGAAAATATAACAGTTAATAGTGTAATATTAACAGATATATTAATAAAGGAAAAAGCAAAAATTTTGCCGAAGCCTTTAATATTCAAGAAAAAGATTTAACTTTTTCAAATGATTGGCTACATAAATTTAAAAAACGTAATAATATTTGTAGATATTGTATTCATGGAGAATCAGGAAGTGTACCATTAGCATCTCTTCTGAAGGAACGAAAAAAATTACATCAACTTTTAGATCGCTATACTCTTGATCAAATTTATAATATTGATGAAACAGTAAGAATAAGTTTAAATTATTTATTATTAAATTTATATATAATTTATTAAATTATTTAAATTATTAAAGGGTCTTTATTATCAAATGGCTCCAAATCAAACTCTTTCAAGTATTCCGGTTCATGGTCAAAAAAAAGATAAAACTCGAATTACTATTCTTCTTGGTACTAATGCTACTGGAACCGATAAACTAAAACCATGGATAATTGGAAATTCAAAACATCCAAGATCACTTTCAAAAGTTAATTTGGAACATCTTCCAGTATATTATTGTGGAAATTCAAAAGCATGAATAAATTCAATGATTTTTGAACAGGTTCTTCATGAAATAAACAGGCATTTTAAAGCTCAAAATAAAAAAATTTTACTTTTAATTAATAATATGCCATCATATTTTGATCCGCATTATATTAATCAAGATGAAAATAATATCGATAAAGATACATCAGGTAAATTTTTTATATAAAATATAATTTTAAAAAAATATCTAATATTTCTTTAAATTTAATTATAGAAAATCAAGTTTTACAAAGTTACAATTGTCATAGTGGTCATAGTAGTTATAATAGTCATAATAGTAGATCAAGAAATCATGGAATGAAAGTTTATCGTAATAGATCAAATGGAAATCAATCTAATGCCTCCCAATTTCAATTAACTCATATTGAAGTAGTTTTTTTACCTCCTAATATGACAAGTCATCTCCAATCTCTTGATTCCGGGATTATTGCAAGTTTTAAGAATTATTATAAGAGAAAATATGTTCGTCATATATTGAAACTCTTTGAAAAAGACAAAGATATCAATAAAGAGAAAATCAATATTAAGAATGCGATTAATTATATATCTGAAGCATGGAGCCACATAACCGAAAATACGATTTGGAATTGTTGGAGAAAAACCGGAATATTACCCTCTTTAACTAATAAAGAAATGAATAATGCAACACAAATTCAACAAGAAGCAAGAGAACATAAAATAGCAGATATTAATCAAATAGTTGAAGATTTAAATAAAACTGATTCTTATGTTGCTCCACTGGTAGATGCATTGAATAATTTCTTTAATGATTTAGAGGAAAAGATTCCAACTGAAGCTATTTTAAGTGAAAATGATATTATAAAGTTAATTTGGGAGGAAATGGAAGAAGTTGATGAAAATGATAAATCTGAAGAGGAATCAATGCTTATTTCTTTTGGGGATGCAGTAAAATCCTTAACAAATTGGATTACCTTTTTCGAAAACAGCAATCGGATGAATTCAAAACAGAGGACATAGATGTTTTTAAAAAATATTTGTTTTTAACTCAGCAACTTGAACGAAAGTCTAGAAAGTAAACTTCAATTATTAATTTTTTCTGTTGTGAAAATAATAAAATTTAGATAGATTGGGATTGGGATTTAATTATATAATAATATAGTGTTTAATCATTTAATTAGTTTAGCATTTAATCGTTTAATAGCATTTAATATAGCATTTAATAACATTTAATGGCATTTAATATAGCGTTTTAATAACATTTAATATAGCGTTTAATAGCATTTAGTATAGTGTTTAATAAAATCTAATATAATGTTTAATAAATAAATTTAATATAACGTTTAATTATTAATCATTTAATAACAAATAAAAAAATTTCTTAATTGTAGATAATTTTTTTTATTCTCGCTCAAATTTCAAGCCCTTCACTATCATCCTGAATCCACCACTATCCTGAATTCATCATCATCCTGAATCCTCCGTCACCGATCTATCATTTCTAACTAAAGTCGATGAAAAGAGCTACGGGAATTGTGTATGTGTGTGCCACCTGTGTCAAATAGAAGAGACAGTAGTAAAGAGTAAGGCTCCTAATGATATTACTTCGATACCATTTCGATACCAGTTCAATACTTAAATTTACTATAAAAACATATGAGTAGGTTACAATCCATATATTAAATTTACTATAGATCGGTACCATTTTGATACCAGTTCGATACCAATTCGATACTTTTTCGGAACCCTAATAAAGAGCATCATAGTATAGGTGCTTTCAAAAAATATTCCCTTCATATTTTATACAATAGTACTTTAAGGGTACTAAACCCAGGACATAACACATTGCGGGGGGACACAGGCATGATCGAAACACCAACACGTTGTGGGGGCACGCACCTGTACTCAAATCACTATCCCGTTGCTGGAGTACGCAACCGTCTTTCAAATCTCTGGCACGTTATGGGGGTACACAGCCATGCACATACAATATGTTGTGAGGAATGCATAGCCATGTTTACTCACAAAAAATACCACTGATCCATTGTTCCGCTAGCATTAATTATGTAAGTGAAACGAAAATCAGCGGGTTGAAAATAAACTCAGAAAACACTATATTTCAAAATCCAAACACAGAATCTTGCCTTCCTAGGATGTCCCCATATGCATATTATAGCCTTTCGCCTGTGCTTAACCTTTTAACTATGGTGCGGAAAGTTCACAGCCATGTCCAAATTGTTGTAAATATTCAGCTGCGCTCATTGTTTAACCTAGACTCTGATATTATAAGTGAGAAACGAGAAATCGGTAAGTTAAAGATAAACTTTTCAACAAAGAAAACCAAAATAATATATTAGTCAGGAAAATACGATACATCACCTTTTAAGTATACCCCATATCCTATGCCCAAAAATTCCTAACACATGTGACGAATATGCAGCTATGTCCACAATCATTAGTATGTTGCGGGAAGTACGCAGTCATATTGCAAAAATATACCATGATCTAACCACTAGTCCATTTTAGAGAGTACCCAACTGACCGTGTTTGCATTGCTTTCTTATATTCTCCACACTCCACACTAAATGCTCCATGTAAATTATCGGTCTCGGCTAATTGCTGATAATATTCTAATGCTATATTCTTATTGTTTTGACCGATTTATAGCTGATATTATGTTTTATACACATTACCTTCATCTCGATAACAACCTCCCAGGCCATCCCGTTCGTTAGGATTTCTGACTTTAACATCTCATGTACTCAAATGTTTTATCTTCTGCGACTCCAATTCCAATCCTAATAATGACATACCAAGTTATTTTTTCCATTCTCGACAACTTATGGTTCCAATTCCATCTCAATTACCCAAATTACTCTGAGTTTTCCAACTCCTCCATCAACAGCAATAAGTTTCGAAAAACTTATCAGCGTACCTTATCTTGACTGATTTTGAATATGTTCAAGTGCTTTATATTTGTCTTATTTAACCTAGGGTATACAACTGTCTTGCATAAGTCAAATACATGGTTTCAGGTTTAAGATATTAGAAACTGTATCCACATCCTTCAATCAATGCATCTGATGCCAGTAGGATGCCATCCAGTGATATTATTACATTTAGTAAGAATATTTTTCAAAGGTGTAGATGCTTTCTGATGTCTCAATGCTATACAGATAGCTTTTGTTACTAGTAGTTGAATATCACAACCATGCTTTTTGAAATTTAGTGTTTATTCTTTGTATTAATATTGGAATAGGACATCTCCAGCCTTTCGTTCACTCTTCACACCTTCATGTCCTAAATGCTAGCATATTGCGAATTTTCTGTGTCCACAATGCATAAACTCCCCATTTCACAAACCAATTCACTCCTGCGCCCATTTGATGACTTGTAGTATAACATGTAATGTAAGGTCGTATACAAATAATGTGTGTTATTGTATGCATCCCTTTTCTACCTATATCCAAACAAGAACACCTCGACATGTGGGTGGGAGAGATTCAAATAAGCCGAAAACCGCAGTTTCAGACAAACGTAGCAGCAGAAACAAAATACAAAGGTCACAGGCTTTAGATTTAAAAACTCTATATAGTCACTATGCATAACTTTTAATATAAGGGGGATTATATAGAGGTACTTTTTTACAGTCACACTTTTATACAATCACCAATTTTAGTGGAACCGAAGTGGTGACTATATGGAGGTCTGACTGTATATTTTAATTTATATTATTTATTAAAATCTCAAGATCATTGTTTAATTTTTAATTTTTTTATTGATTTAAATTTGCTTTATAGTATATTAATTTATTATTTGTTTATATTATTTTAATTTTAATTTTTATTGTTCTAATTTTTATTTCTTTATAATTCTACTCTATTCCATATTCTAAAGCATTTACTTTCAAATTTTTTATTTAAAAAAAGTATGGAAATGTAAAGCATGTATTACATGTGCCTAATTACAAACTATTGATTGATCACATTTATTATACTACATTATATCAAAATTTAAACACATTATAAAGATATTGTTATTTAATTGCTAGGACATTTTAAGAATGCAAAATGTCAGTAGAAATAGTATCATGAGATATAGCATATTACTGTATAATAGAACAAGAAAGATTAATATTTAGAACTTACCATATTTATTGTATCTAATTTTCGTTTTATTTGCTTGTCGATTTTTAACAGTATTTCTTTTAATTTTTTTCCTTGATTGCAATCTTGGTATTAATTAGATATGTTCTAGCGCTTGTTTTTCTTTATGTAATTCCGATTATCTTTTTGCATCAACTGTAGTTAATAAATATATTGTGTATCCACGGAAATTTCAGTAATGAATAAAGGTAAGAAAGCAGAGATTTTGATGAAGGTCAATTACAGTATATAAAATCACCTGTAAAATATAATTATGATATGGTTGATTCATTGGCTATTCTACTGAAAAACATTTTGTATCATTAGTATGTAAAATTTAGATATATTATTTAATAACACTTATTATTGCATATACTGTATATATATATATATTTTTGACTTCAAGATCCATTATATTTGTATCTACAGTATAAGAGTATTGTACCTTTAATACACTAGATACGATTCGTTAAAATAATAACAATATATCCTTTATTCGAAATAGCATATTTCGGACAGTGATAAAAAAATTATCATGACGATCTAAAGGGAAATGTTTAAAATAAATGTTAAGAAAATAATATAAAGGTCAATGCAAAAATAGATGCGAAATACACATGGGTCATACTTTTGTTTATCGCTGCTAGAAAAAATATTCTTTCAATTTCTTTCTTTATCCCATCGTCTTCGCGTTCAACAAGATTGCACGATTCTGTAAACAACATTTAAATTTTTTATAAATTTTATTTGGTCATGTTCCTAAATATAAAGACAAAAAAATTATTAGATAAGGAATTCGACAACCGCTCCTAGAGTTAGAAAAAAAAAGTCTTAGAAATACATCGATGCAATAAAGAAACATTCGATCAATACAAGGGTTTTATCAAGACAATAAAGACAATAAACTTTCGTCTTCTTTATTTTAAGAATATAACTATTGTGCCAAAACTAATTATACCGAAAGCACGAAATTTCACTTGAAAACAATGCCAATAGGTGGCGCACACCTTACGATCTAAAATAGCTAATGAAACTCTGCTTTGTTAATTTTGATTCTAAAAGAGTAAACACGATATGGCGGTCCTGGATACCGAGAATTCGGGAAATAAACAAATTAAGAATTAACAGAATAAAGTGAATAACATGATTAATTAATAGCATATATTGAGAAAATGTGAGTTATAACATTTATTTAGTTTATTTTATAAAGAGAATGAGTTAAAGTTAGTATTATAAACCGTATATTATAAGAAAACGACGGATGAAATGAGTTTTCTATGACGTGTTTATGACCGATAGTATTGGAAATTGAACCAAATCGTTATGCTTCTAGTTTCAAGTTTTGAAAGTTTGAACTGTTTGTTGTATCCCGAGTACAGCTTCCACTGCTCTTATTAAAATTAAATAATTACATTTAACAAGAATTGCTATTGATGAGGAGATTTGTATCATTTGTACAAACGGTACGAAGCATTAGGTGCTCCTGAAATGCTTGTTCGATAAATCACGTGACAAATTGGATTGTTCAAAAAAATACGATTTTTTAATCCAAATCATTTTTTTGGCGTATTATCTTTGTTTTATCAGTTTTAGCATTTAACAAACTCGTATACAATAGCACATTGATCATGTCAAATAAAGACACCATCTATATGAAAGGGAATACAAAGTCTTGGCATTACACTTTAATTCTTATCTTGAGATATATTGTATGCAAATTCAAATGTATATTAAAATATAATGTACCATTTTAAATTGATTGGGTATTTTACATGCCTAGCAATATACTTTTCGTATTATGTCAGAAGTTATTGCGTATTGCCAATGCAATACTAGAAGTTAAATTATTGCCGTTACCGGGGTGTTTGTCACTGACCCGACCAACTCATCGCGTGACGATAGTTTAAGTTCAAAGGTAGGTTATTATTGAAGGCATTAACTAGACACTTGAAGGTGTATTTGACTTGGAAATTTATATTTGTTGTAATTTTAGCATTAGTTTCCTCAGCAGCGCGACTAACGCCTGCTGTAGCTTGTTTTTGCAAGAGACGCCCTTTCTATTTAAGCTATTTTATTTATCCTGGACATGTCATGAAATTAAGTTCGAACGCGTCATATTTCCTAATTTCTGCTATGTTGCTCCTGAAGCACGTAACGTATACCATCCCTTATTTACCCACAAGAGTATCCCTTTAATACTGTATGTACAGTATCACCCTATTCTGGATAATCTTACCAATATTGTTTATTACTCTTCCTTTTAATTAAGGTCATACAATCAAAGCGCCGATCAATTTGACCTTTATTTATTCTGAATGAAAACGGTTTTGTTGATAATCCTACAACTCTTGTCTATTTTCGTTTCTGCATAGAATGTCGGATTCCAAAGCATTAAGTCATCTTTTAAGCCTCCCCAACGAGATTACCGTTAAAATTTTTGGACATACCAAACCAGAGGATATTTGCTCCATTTCTTTAGTATGATTTTTTGATTTTTTCATTGGTCTTCAACAAATAAGCGTTATTTCGAAAATTTCTTACATTTATTGCACAAGTAGGCAAATAGAAAGTTCTATAAACTTTTCCACGACGACTATGTCTGGCAGCTAATGTGTAATACCCAATATCCCACAAGTAGAATCTTGGAAGCTCAAAAGGATCTGGATAAAGATGGAACTTTGGGGCAATTATTTTCCACTATTCCGGAGTCTAAAGCAGGTGAATATACTAACGTTTTTAAATTAAGAAATACTTAATGCACAATACGCTGTTATCCTCAACGAATTATGTATTAATATCTAAAAAGAAAATCTATTTTGTAATTAATTACATTTAGCCACATCTTTACGCTTGTTATACCCGAACACCCATCTGGACGCAGAATTAAGTAATAACAATGCACTATCAACAGAAAGTAATGAAATGGTATGGAAGATTTTGTATAAATATATATGTGAGTATGTTAACTTGTAAATTATGTTAATGCAAATTAGGCATCCGTGTTTTCTCATTATTTATAAATGAATACTACATAGCAAATCCAATTAGCTATATTGCAAAAGAGCGAGGTATTACTCTGTTGAATTTTCTTGATGGATTATTCGTTCGTGGTCAAAAACATTGGGCAACAGAAATTGGAGAAAGGTGCGGTTCATTTTACCATATGATAGTCGTTCGTGTATAATTCTAACGTCTAACGGCTGTTACAGTGCATACGGACAAATCATTCATCTCTATTATGTGTGGTGGTTTGATGTAAATAGTCACATATGATTCTGTTTCTGTTACGCTTATAATTGCTTTTATAACGTTACGCTATATATTTTATCAACAGATAAAAGCGGTTATTAAGTGTGTTCATCCTGGAACGTATGATATTGTTTGGAGACTTAAGGTTGATGAAGGAAGTTATGGTTTAGGAGGGTTAAATTTTAAGACTCAGGTTATAGCTAATGTAGGTTTTTTTTTTTTAATTAAAATTTAATAATTCGTACTTTCACAAGAGTTCATTATTGACGAAAGAAAGCTACAATGAAAACAGAGTTACGACGAAGCATTACATACTCCTGAAAGGGTTGTTAGAGAAATAAATTATGTTTCAAGTTCTTGGCTTTTCAATGACGATCAATCAAAAGGAATCTGGATCGAGTATTGCTTACCGTACCAAATTGTTGTACCTGAAGAAAGAGTCATTGATGGAGAATACATTTGGTATGACATTAAATGTAAAATATTTGATACTGATGGATTTCAGAGAAATGGTTTGGTAAGGAATTTTTTATTTTCACCTTAAAAAATTTTTATTGCATTACCATTGTGATTTCTAGTATTTAACAAACTTATGTATAATAGCATATTGATTATGTCAAATTATTGCACCACTGTGATAGGAGGGAGCAATGATCATTTTAGAAGAATCATAATGAGAAGGTGAATTATTGTAAGGAGAATAATAATGAGGAAATTGTTGTAAGAAAACCACGATAAAGAGAATTGTTGTGAGGAAAATGATTAAATTATTCTGCATACCAAAATCAAGTTATTTTTGATTCTTATTTTGTGAAATATGTAGCCTTTTAAAATACAATACAATATATTAAATTAAAGTATGTATTTTCATATTTAACCATATGCTCGTCATATTGTTAAAAGTTATAGCACATTACCAATGCGATATCTAATTATGTTTTCGAATTTAACAATCAATATAGTTTATATCATGTTTAATTATCGACAAAAGCTTTTTTAAAAAAATTCTATTGGTGCAATCTATTTTTTTCAATGAATTATTGTACTTACCTTATGAGCATTATGTAAAATCAAATTTATTTAATATATATTTCTTATGATACTTAACCTAGTAGCTATTTGAAATACGTTAAAATTTAATTACACTATATACTATACATACTGTACTGTATATATTATTGTAATCTCATTTTTTTTTATAATTAATTGCAATAATTATCTTAATCATATAAATAATAAAATTAACAGTCATTTAAAAATGACATACTGTATCTCGGATGGTGATGAACCGATTTTGTCGTGGTTAATTAAAAAGAAAAAAAATTTAAGAAAATACCAAGAAAAGAATAAAATGATCAATTTAAAATGAGTGAAGAGTACACTTGAATCGTATCTTTGTTCATCACCGCAAGAAGAAGCATTCGACAATTATCTTTTTTATCCATCACCTTTGCGTTCATGATTTTACAATCGAACGTATTCAAAAATCTCTTACAAATTTCGATCGGTCAAATTCTCTAGATGCTGTATAAACAATAAAACTATTGGTAATGAATCTTAAATTTTATTAATACTGTAGTCATCTTAGCAGTTGTTTCTACTGATTCTTTAGCTACCTGTGAGACAGTGCCTATCTCGAGACTATCAAATGTTATATAAGAAAATATATTTTTTTAGCAATACATCAATATTACAAAATAAGTATTAAATTTATACAAGAGCTATTTTCAAAATAATATTATTATCTATCCTGATTTTATAAACAATATTTGGTTATTCGAACTATACAGAATCATAACTTATACTGTACTATGCATACTGTTTTATATAATTTAATGAGAAAATAATAGCAGGACATAATAACAAATTATATATTATCGTAGGCTATCTGGTAAGCCCACAATGCTTCTTGTTACACTCGGTTCACAATAAGGTAAGTTTTCCCAACTCTTGAGGCGTGTTTCCAATCTGACCGTTCTCCCACTTTAACTTCTCTACCGACTAACCTAGAACCCTTTCAATGTCAACTCTCTTAGGCAAACCTCAGTTCTCTCTTGAGTCGCGTAGCCTAAGTCACAAGTATTTCGGTCACACAAGAAAACAAGGCAAGAGTTTATTTACCAACTTGACTTTATTGTTTAAAATGCTACTACAAAATGTTACCCTAAATGCTACTGAATTGCGGATGTATTTATACATGCGACTATTATTTACCTGTTTACATCAGTTTACTAGATTTTCCCACCATAATTTCCCCCGTTCATACAAAAAGCTGACGTAACGTGATATCACGTCACACCTGCGTCGCATTTGCCTATAACAATATAATATGCTAGGTTTAAAATAAGAAAACGAGATAAAATTTTGCAATTTAAAATTTATATAGTAAGTTGTATATTTTGAAATTCAAATATTGTTCATAAATAATTAAAAAAATATTTATTTTTTAAATAATATATAAAAATTAAAAAATTTTTTTATTAAACTGTCACAAATCATCATATTATTAAAAATTTTACCATCTTATAAGAAATGCATAATCAAATTTTTTATCAAATTTTTTATAAAATCGTTTGATTAACAATTTTTTTGAAATATATGTAAACTGTTTGTAAAAAATTTATATAAAATAAAAAATTTATATTATATTATATTATTTTATTTTATTTTTCAATAGATAAATATTATTTCTTTATTTATAGTATTATACTGAAAAGTTATATACACTGTGAAAAAAACAGCATCTCTTAGATGCAAAGCATACAACAAGTTAAATGTTAGCTTGTTTACATATTTATATTTAACTAATGTTAAAAAAATTTTAAACCAATATTATATATATTAAATATAGCTGAGTGGCAGCTATGGTTACTTAAAATTTTTAATTGGATGTAATAAAAATAAAAAATAAAAGAAAATTAAAGAAAAATAAATTGAAGCTACAACTTAAACTATAAGATCTATGTAAATAAAATTATTATTTTTAAAGGAATCTTGATTTGGCTCAATAATTTATTTTTTCAATTTCTTGCTACTTGTTAATTTTGCTTTTGTTAACATGGACAATAAAGTATAATTGTAGTAGTTATTGTTATTATTGTTATGTTAAAAAACTTGGTTAAAACAGGTTTAATTTTTATTTTATTGTTTTGACAAAATTTGATTAGATGATTAAAAAGTAATGATTATCTAAAGAAAATAACTAATTTCAGTTTTTTAAAAAAAAGATTTTAAAAATTTTGAAATGATACAATAAGTAACATTATGATAAGATTATATTTGAAAATTGTATTAAAACTATAATTTTAAAAATTAAAATTAAATAGATTTGTATAAATTTATATAAGATTCAAAACATTATGAAAAATAATAATAAGTTATAATCTATATATTAAATTTAATATAAATTAAAAAATTAAAAATTGAATTGAATCAAATTATTAAAATCCTTAATTAAAATTAACAATAGATTCAATAACTTTTTTTTTGTAAGTAAACATCATTTCTTTATTTTATTTATATATAACAAGGTATATATCATGAAAAAAATAGCATTCCTCATATGTTGATACAATAAGTTAAATGCTAACTTGTCTACAGTAACCATATAACTAATATTGAAAAGAAAGTTTAAAACAATATATCTTGCCATATGACACCAAGCAGTCCTGAATACTTACTCAGTATTAGAAGGAATGATGTTTGAAAGAAATGAAACTAATTTTTGAATGCATTTGTTATAGTTATAATTACATTGAATAAAAAGTTAATAACAATTGTTGATAGGTTTATAATGATTTCATTTTGGATATTATTGGAATGTGAGCTTCTGATAGAGGCAGTGTGATTTCTTCTTGATCTGGTTAGGTTATAGTATTTGATGATTTGTTTAGTTTCCATTTAATACCAGTGAGAGGTGAAGTATTAACAATGTTGCATCATGGTTTCTGAATTGTATTATATAGTTGAGTTAGAGATTCTGTTGATATCTTGATACAGCTGATAGTATCTATTGTAGAGAATATTCTATTAGTCATACCACATGACAGTTCTACAACTTGCCATATATGAGAAATTAGTTTGATATTATTATTTGAATAGAGAATTTGATTAATATTGTTTATAATCTGGTTAATCTTTTTTAAGGTTTCAGAACATTTGAAGACATGTTGAATGTCTTTTGTACGAAGTTTGTATTTTGGATAATACTCATTTGGATATTAGTCAGGATAATATTGATGAAGTATTTGACAAGTTGGGAGTGTCTCTGAAAGGAGTTTAATTCCGAATGCTATTAGGTTGCTATAGTTGTTATTGTGTGCCTTTTTGATATTTTATTAGATTAATCGATAATTTTTAGATCATGTGGAGTATAATGCTATTTAAAAATTTGGAAAACTGAGAACCTTTCACAGATTATATAATTTTTGGTGATACTAAAAATCTTTTTACACTATCTGACATTACTGTCTAGGTATGTGTTGTTGATTAGAGGGCTCTCTGAAAAGTGTAATAAATTGTTGCTTTATTGAATTGTCTTATTATAAACAGTTTGAACTTTGGTTTAATATATATAATTTTTATTGATTTCTGTTTTATGATTTGATTTATTTTTTGGATTAAAGAAGAAAAGTTAATTTTGATCATTCTTTTTGGATAAGTTAATACTAGTTGAAGGATTTTTTTGTTATTTCTGATTTCAATAGTATTGTACTAGAAGCTCCATTAGATAATATCAAATATTACTAGTAGAATATTACCGGAAGCTAGACAGGTACTAGCAAGTTCTACCTTGCACTTATTGATGACTAAGTAACTTTTGTGAAATTGAATATTGTAATGTTAATAATGCCCTACTTTTTGAAGTGATGCTTGGAGAAATAGGTTGTTAATATTGATTGTTTAGAGGATTTGCTTACTTTCGTGTAATAAGTTAATGGTTTTATCGATAATATTCAATAGTCAATATTTGATAGTGCTGAATGGATTAAGAAATATCCATAAAGTTAAAGCTATAGAGCTTGTGAACATTATCCAGCAAAAGCTATAGGATTGTGTACCGGCTAGATATCCTGGACACCTGAAAAGGTTATTAGTTGGATCTATTGTAAAGTGTTTTTCCTTAAGTATCATTTCTTTTTGCACTAATAATTATTTCTTATGGATCTTAACTATAGTGTTTGAGTCATGTACAAATCAAAATATTGCTTTGGGATTTGGTATTGAACCATGTAATTCCATGAGATTCTTATTATTTGTAAAGGTTTTGAACCAATTTAGTTTTAGGCCAAAACAAATTATTTATGTATATAAGGCAAGTTGGTGCCATATAAGTTTGGTAGTGCTATTGAACTTCAGTAGCTAATTAGTGAACTTCAGGTTAAGTGTGTTTGTTGTGTTTATTGCTGTTTTTTTGAATTGGAGTTGTAAATCTGTAAATAGAAGACCAATTGAATTCTCTGCATTATCTCAATGGAACATACACTTTGTTAAGCATATGTGAATCTTGAGATTCTTAACTGCTCTTGCTATATAGAAAATTCAATTATCTTGATTGAATCTCTTTGGGTCACATATGGGGCAAAACCATATTGCCTATTTAGTTTGGATAAATTGAATGTCTTGTATAGTATATTTCCTAATAAATAGAATGATAAGTTTGAATATGAGATTTCTACTAATATGATTTTTTGTCTTTCTTCTAGTGCTGATAGGTTGAGGCCACTTTGGCTGATTAATATTGAGTTGGAGCATTTGGAAGAAATTCTGTAGGCTGACTTTATGAGTTTATTAATTTTGATTTGGAGTTATTTAAGATTTGTTTGATTGAGAAATAATAAGAATAGAAAGTATTCAAATTTCCTTATAATTATCCAGTCTCTGATTTGTTGCTTGATTTCTCCTTTTCAGTTGCATTTAGATAGCTTATCAATGATTTGAGTTAATGTTTGGATAAAGGTTTTTCTGTTTGTTCTAAAAAATTTCCTGGAGAAAATTAGTGTGCCAAGATACTTTATATTTTTGTAAGGTTTAAGAATTTGGATTTGGTGATTATTAAATTTGATTGTTTTTTGGATGCCATATTTAATTTTAATGTTGTTGATGATTTTGATTTTGATTTGTTACATGTGATACTATTAATTACAAAAAACTGATCAGTTATTGCAAGAAGGTTATCTATTTTTTTTTATATTCAGCAATAAGTGCTAAGTCATCCATATAAGCTAAGGTGTTAGGGACAATATACTCTTGAACCGGATGGTGCTGAGCCAGTTTGGTAATAAAGGGATCATAAAAAATAACCCAGGTAATGGGAGACAGAATTTTGCCTTGTACTACTCCATTGTTGACAATAAATGATTCAGTGGATCCGAAGGGTATATTGAAGAAGATTTTTCTGTTAATAAGAAGATTTATAAAAAGATTGATAATTTGACTTGGACAGCAAATTTTCTCTAGTGATTTTTTTATTGCTGGTATGGATACTGAGTCAAATATCTTTGTTATGTCTAGTAAGGCAAATCAAAATTCTTTGTTTTGACATTAGCTATATGGAAGACTGAGTTGACAATTGTTAATAATTCCATAGTGCTTTGACCTGGAAGATCAACACAGCAGTATTTTGATAGAATATTGTTTTCTCAATTATTTTGGTTAACTTCTTATTGATTATATCTGTAAATACTTTTTTTGTGAAATCAACAAGGAAGATAGGTCTGGTATTATTTAATTTATGACTCTAAATTAGTTTTTTTGGAATGAGAGTAACAATGGTCTGTTTCTATTATTTGAATATATTGATAAATTATAGAATATTATTAAAGATAGATACTATATGAAGAATTGTTTTTTCCTTATAAGTTTGATAATATTATAACTAATCCTTAATTTTTCTGAAGCTTTATATCTAGGAAGATTGTGAATGGCTTTTTTGAATAATAGATAGTTCAAGGGGGTTTGTTAGCTTTCCATAATTTTTTTGATTTATTGTTTTTGGTGAATAAATTTCTTTCCAATTTGGGTGATTGCTAAGATTGAAATTTTTTGATCATAAAATATTCTTGAAATAATTGTTAATTGTTTTTTGAATTAAATCTGGATTATTTTCTAGTTGGTTGTTTGAGTTGTATAACTTATGAAAGTCGATCTTAGATTTGATTGTGCTAAGGGCTTTCTTAATATAGCTTTTTGATTTGCTATAGAAGTTTTCCATCATAATTTTTAAATTTAAATGGTACTCTTCAATAGCTTCTTGTTGTAATTGAATTAAAGCTTCCTTAATTAGAAGTTTCTTCAGTTTTTGGAGACCTTTGATTAATATGTTGGAGTCAAGATTGGAAATCTTATAAAAAGATAAAAGTTTTTAATCAAAGAGAGATAGAGATGAAT